CCAGCCAAGCAGCAGGTAACTTACCTTACCTTCTGCTCTGCTAGTTCTCATCAGGGCTCTGGCAGTGTTTGTCTCTTCTTTCTGGTGCACCAAGGTAACAAGATTGTCCCCTTTGCCCAGTCTTCCTGGAAGAGTCAGGACAGTGGAACTATCAGAATGAAGAGATTACCTTCGGGCAGTATTCGCTCTCCTCTCCCCATTGCCTTGCACTTTAAAACCTACAAGTCACTGTACCATGCTCAGATACAGATCGACTCCTTATTCCTGACAACTGTGTAAAACATTCAGCCTGCATTAAAATTTGTGTAGCTTGGAATAAAACAAAAGGAATGTAATGCTCCGTGCATGTCCTTGAGCTTCATGTCTCTTGATGCCCCACTGCAGAGATGATATTTGTGCTTGTGGTGGGGGCTTCTTTGGTGGAAGAAGAGGCTAAGGGGAGGGCCGATTCATAGCAAAAGTCATCTTTGGAAGCCCTTAAGCTAATGAGGAAAACAAAGTCCTCCTAAGACAAATAATGTAGCTGTATAAGTCATCAGAGATTTGATCAGGGAACTGATCAAATATTGCCTAAAGATGGTTAAGGTTAAGGCATTAAACACATGTACACACACACAGCTGGCATCTTATTAGTGAATTATGGCCTAAATTCAAGTTAACACTATCATAACTCACTCTTTAAAATTCTGTATTGACTGCCCAACAATGTAAATAACCCCCACCTCTTCCTGGAATCCAAGATTGGCTACTAAGGCTGCTGCCACACTGTAGACTTAATGGAGTTTGACACTGCTTTAACTGTCATGACTGTATCCTAATAACTATGAATGAGGTTGTATCTGTGAATAGCAATAGAAATGTAAAACTTGTGGGTCTGATGCTGAGGTGACAAGCTCAGTTTTAATTATGGTCATAGGAAACAAAAGCAGGAGTAAAGATGTTGTCTAGAGCCAGGGTGGGTGGATGGTGGAAGGAATTTTGGATTGTGTTGTGTGTAGACTGGGAACTAGTAAGGAGATGTGATAAACTGGCCAGGAGCATCTTCATGAGGCTGGTGTGTTAACTAGTGTTATAATATCTATAGGGTGCCAGGAAACCATTGTCTTTCTCCAACCCACTATTAATGGACTGCAGTTTGTGGATATATTCCAGTTCTGCTGTTTCTCTTTCCAAGCTTCAGTTGTAGTTTTTTTTGTTGTTGTTGTTCAAGGACTACTGTTCTGATGTCTGAGATGGAATGCCCAGCAACATTGAAGTGTTCTGCAACTGGTTTTTGTGTTTTCCCATTCCGAATGTCTGATTTATGTCCATTTATCCTCTGGCACAGAGACTGGTCTGTTTGTCTAATGCAGAGTGCTGAAGCTCATTGTTGACAGAGGATAGCGTATATCCTATTAAAGGATGAACAAGGAAATTACCTCTAATATTATGGGTGACGTGATAAGATCCTGTGATGATATTTCGTGAGCAGATGTATGGGCAGAGTTGGCATCTGGGTTTGTGGCAAGGTCATGTATCCATCTCCATATCTATGTTGTGGATCCTCCTATAACTGTTTGAGATTGGGAGACAGACTGTAGGCAGGTAAAGGCCTGCCACTAAAAGTTCAAGAGGGCAGTCTGCAATATATATTGAAACCTATGCATCTACACTTATTTAATCAACATAAAAATATCACTAAGAATCTGATGGCACTCAGTATTTATTTTTATAATGGAGAGGAGAAAGAATACATTCCAATTTATATTGATTGCTTTGCTAATTCTGCCTTCTAACATCACTAGACAGTAGGCAGGTAGCTGAATTGTATTTAACTGGTTTTATTGTGATGTGACTAAGATGGATGTGACATGGTCTTCCATTATTCGATGGGGAGTGTGGCTAATGAAGCCATTAGCTGAGCTAAGGCAAGAGGAGAAAAATAGGGAAATTACCATTATTCTGAAGCCATTAAGTTGTAATCTGCCACTTTCTCTCCTTACTCAAAAAGGCATCTTCTTTTGAAGGCCTCCCTGACTGTCCTTTAAAGATTCATTAATTCATTAACTTTCTAAAAGAGATGAGGGGAAACACAATTGAAATTTTAATCAGCGTGGCATGTCGTATTATTAACATTTTGAACGTATCTGCCTCCGCTGTTGGACGGTGTCAGGTTAAGGTTAAATAAACTACATTACAGCAAATAATTCTCTGTTTCATACCATAAAACATAAAATGCTGAGGACAGAAATTGGTTTCATGGACAAATTGAATTACAATTCAGGCTTGGCATTGTAAAATCTGTTGTTCGAATTTACATTCTTTCCAGTGAATATGAATACCAGCGTAATACATTAGTGTTAATATATCCCCCCACTCATATGCCTGGTTGGAGCCAGTGTAAACATGGTTATCATGTGGAGGTTACTTTAAATGACTCTGTGTGATGGCTAAAGGGTTGGCAACTGACCAATGGTGACATCGGTGCCAACAGATCTTGACCAATTAATTGGCCAAATATTAATTAAATTGGAAAAGGGGGGAAAGAGAAATGAGAATTATATTAACTGCAGAAGGGTTGTCTTCTAGAGTGGTGCTATTCAAAGTAGAGGTCTGTGTAGCTGCAACAGTGTCTGCTGAGTTTCCAGGAAACAAAGAAACAATTGCAGTCAGTGGAAATAAATTTTATTTATTTAATAATAATAATAATAATTAATAAATTTATTTTTACCCTTAATAATAATAATTTATTTGACTTCCTGTCCTCCACTGCTCTGTTTAGGTCCTGTAGACTCATATCTCTGACCTTCCCAAATAGAGTCTATCCATCTAGTGTATGGTCTTCCTCTTTTTCTACACCACCTTTCCTAGCATTATTGTCTTTTCTAATGAGTCCTGCCTTCTCATGATGTGGCCGAAGTATGACAGCCTCAGTTTAATCATCTTGGCTTCTAGGGAGATTTCAGGTTTGATCTGCTCAAGGATCCCTTTGTTTGTCTTTTTGGCTGTTCTCAGCACTCTTCTCCAGCACCACATCTTGAATGAGTTGATTTTTTTCCTATCTGTTTTCTTCATTGTCCAGCTTTAGCATCTGTACATGGTGATGGGGCATACCATGGCTTGGATGATTCTAATTTTAATGCTCAATTATATGTCCTTGCTCTTGGAGATATTTTCAAGTTCTTTCATCGCCACCCTTCCCATTCCTAATCTTCTTCTTATTTCTTGACTGTAGCCTCCGGTTGGTTATTCTGTGTTTAGTTGCTGCTACTAACTAGCTGCCCAAGAACATTTGAGATGGTAGGAAAATTCCTCCTGAATTGTTACCTCCCCCAACCTAAGTCTACAACCAAATTCAAATCTTGGAATTCAACCTTGTGGATTTCTGTGCTGATTCTGGGTGGGTCATCAATCAACCACTCCAGACAAACACCATGGGTGACTGCAGCTCTCACACTTTGAGCCTTGCTTCCATTCTTCCATCCCTCTCGCTCTTTTCACTGTGATACTGTCAGTTTGATGTATTGCCTCCCTTGTTGAGTTTGTTCCTTGGGTCAGGAAACCTCAGAGTTGCTTGTATCACCAGTGCTGAAAAAAGCACATGTAGCCTTCTGCATCGCAGCTTGACATCTTCCAGTGGATTTGAGGAAAAATTCAACAGCAGCACCTACAATAACTAAAAACCAAAACAAAACACCACCCTGTTTTCTCTTCTTCCAGAGTAAATTATGTTTACGGTGATGCAATTAGGGTAACAAAGGAAGTATAGAAGTAATAGAATTACTAATTGTATTGCTTTACATAAAGCATGGCATCAATATTATCAAGTACGATTAACAGTCTTTAAGGGCGCCACATAGAATAACCTTTGATTTGAAATAGAACCATTAAATCTTATAAAACTGTCCTGCTTCTAAGCCTCTGCGCAGGCTTCTTATTTTCTGATGAGAAAAAAGAGGTCTGGTACAGTCTGACTATAATGCCTATTCTCACTATATTGCTTATGAAACTCAGCAGAGATTATTTTGGTGATGCCAGGACTGGTGTAGAGAGTGAGAGTAATGATCAAGTCAAGTTCGACTTCTCAGTGGCTACTCCCAGGCTGTGGAACTCCCATCCACTGGAGGTTCTGTTAGTTCCCTTTCTGCTCTCTTTCCTCTAGCAGGCAAATACCTTTTTCTTTGATCAGGCTTTTGGCTGTTAACCTATGTGGCCAAAGGGTCTTTTAATGTGGTGTGCCATGCTTCTTTCTCTCTTAAAATTGTGTTTTCAATGTGTATTACATGGTTTTGTGCTCTCCATACCCACCTGTTTCCTTTCCCCCCCCCCCATAATGCTAAAAATAGGAATATTGCTCCATGTGTTCTAATTCACTTTCTAAACAAGATGGCGACCCCAGCATGGTTTGAATGAAAGTGGATTTCTAGACATTTTCTGGTTTCATATTCGCTTTTTTTTTTCATTTGATGGGAATTGGTATGACCCTTGGTTGGTGCTAGAGCAGAATATTGGTAGCCAGAACTTGCTCACCTTGCATAGATTTCTCATGTAACTAATTTATGTATTCAGATATTTGTGACCTATCTCATGATATGAGATCCCAGACCATGAATGAGGAATATTTTTTTAAAAAAAATTATATGCTGTGTTCTCTCACACATTTCTGTGATTTGACATACAGTCACCCCTCTACATTCATGGATTCTGTAGCCATGGATTCAACTAACCATGGTTTTGAAAATATTCACACATACACCCAAATCCAAAATGCAAAACTTGATTTTGTCATTTTATATAGGGAACACCATTTTGATACGCCAAAGTATATTTGAGCATCCACAGATTTTGGTATCCACAGAGGGTCCTGGAACTAAACCCCAGTGGATACCAAGAACCCACTGTACCCAGAACCATAGACACCACGTGTCCATCTAATGAGCATCTTGCACATAGACGTGGCAGCCTAAAACCATTTGAAATCTCACACAGCTTCAGACACATTCTAAGTGAAATCATTGAGAGCCAGCATGGTGTAGTGGTTTGAGCATTAGACTAGAACTCTGGAGACTAGGGTTTGAATCCCAGATTGGCCATGTAAACCCACTGGGTGACCTTAGGCAAGTCACACTCTCTCAAACTCAGAGGATGGCAATGGCAAACCTCCTTTGAAGAAATTTGCCAAGAAAACCCCATGATAGCTTTTCCTAGGGCCACCATAAGTTGGAGACAACTTGAAAGCACAATGACAACAATAACCCCAGGGGAAAAATATTGAAAATCTGGTGATACTTTACAGTTGGGTAGGAGAAGAGACATGAAGACTAAATGATCATTCCTGAGAAGAAGTACAAGAGAACAAAAGTAGTTTTATTAAGTTTCTTTAAAATGCAAGGAACTGGAATGGCTCCCAGAGAAAAGGAGTGCCATAGCCATGGGGCTAACACAGAAATATTTGATCACCTGTTTTAAGTACTCCATCAAGCAATTGGTATGGCTCCCATGAATTAGAAATTGAAACCAGATATGGTGATGTGGCTTGAACAAGTCCACATACTAGCAAAATAAGCTATGACACCATTTATTATTGTCTATTTGTCTAATATATCTCTTGACCCACATGAACTTCCAAAATGATAGGATTTGGCTGTTACAGACATGGAGTTCACATTACAGAAAAATATTGATGACTCCCAAAACAAAGATTTGAGATTTTGGCTGACATTCTCTTCATTCATTTAAACAAGCCATATAAGAAGTATGCAAAGCTGCAGAATTATTCATTCCCAAATCAATTTTCAATTATTACTTAATTGATTTGGAAATTTACATCAGGACCTCCTCCCCCCCCCAAAGGGAAATAAATAAAAGCAGGATTGAATCAAGAACTGAATGACACTTTTGTATTAAAGAAGAACAAATTCCTGTGGCACCTGAACATCTTTCCAAAGAAGAATAGTTTCATTACAATACGACGGCTTTCCAAATTGAGTATCATAACTTGTGTTTTATTGATACGGCATTTGAAATGTGTGCTCTAGATTCTCTCTGTGCCCAATGAAGAACTAAGGAAATGAATGGTGAGGAAGGTATACGGTGTTTTTCCTTTCCATTTTATGCCCCTTTCACCACCTCTCTTGTTTTTTTCTTTTGCATCCTATGGGATCATTCTAAACAATGCTTTAATTTACAGTTGCACATTCTGGAGTTTTGCTTAAAATATGTCCTATCTGAGAATGGAATTGGAATCTCCTTTTTTTGAAGAAATGAATAAACCGCATGGGGTGAACTTTTTTCTTGCCCTATTTCTAACCTGGTGTTTTCAGAGTATAATTTAGACATTGCTTCAGTGGTTTATGGTCATATAATGTGTAGGTGTGTAGGTGGGAGGTTAGATAGATGCACTTGTAAAGGGCTGAAAGCTGGATGGTTGAATGTGATCTCCAGCTGTGTGTTATTTTAGCTCACAGTTTCATGTCTCTGTCCTAAGGCATGAGATGCTACTAATTCTGCAAAAAATCCCCTCCAAAACTCAAAGATTTGCTAGATGGAGACAATTGGATTTGATTAAGATATTGCTGCCAGACCTAATCTCCCTTTTAAGCAAACCATACTTAATCAAACCAGTGCATTTTACTACAGCTCTTTCTTTTTCTTTTTCTTTTAAAAAAGTTTCTTCATTTGGGAATTATCGTACAAAAGCAACATTCACTATACTTAGATTGATTATTGGAATATTGGGAAAGTTTGATAGGGTCCGTTTGGGGTTTTTTGGGAGGATTTTTTTTTTTTTTTTTTTTTT